TGCCGTGTGTGAAGCTCTGTCACTTCATTTACTGTTTTATTTAGCACCCTGATAGACGGAGTGTGATACAGGTCAGAATCACCTGGAAACAGACAAACCCAGGATAACTCGAGGTTTATTTATTAGGGACTACTCACAAAGGCACAGACTGGGACTTGGGGGTCATGAGGTGCACAGCAGCAGTGGGGCCGTCAGCAGCAGGGTGTCAGCACCTTCAGGCCCAAACACAGCCAACCGAGGTGCGGGGAGGAACCCGGGGACAGCCTCCACCCCCTCCCGCCAGGCGTCTCAATGTGGATTGCATCTGGTCCTCATTTTGGGTTGTCACAGGGTGGTGGGGTGAGTACCACTAGTGGGCAGAGGCCAGGGATGCTGTCAGCAACGAAGAACCACCTGGCCCAATATCAATTATCAACAGCACTGTGACTAAGAAACCCTGCTGTGGACCAGAGGCTCGAATCCCAGGGCAGGGGAACAGCTGGAGGGGTGCATGGATCTGGGGAGGCAACTGAAGCCCCAGATGGTCCCATGCCACAGAGAAAGACAGGCTCAGAGACGACAGGGGATCGGCCTGGCAAAGTTTGGATGTGAACTCAGGCCTGAGGGCAGAGCCCGTGGCCACACCCTGGCCCCACTCTTGGGCCCTGTGGGTACATCCATCACGCCAGTGGGTCCAGTCACAGGGTCTGAGCTCCCTGCCCCTCACATGTGATTCCTGCTTAATCAAGATGTGGGATAGACAGGACCTGCAGTCTAGGGCTACAGGCCACCCAGGCCCTTGGCAGTGTGGTTACTTAGTAGCTTGTGGTAAAAACAGACTGTCGGCGAAGGGGGAAGGATCTCACCTGTGCTTCCTCTTTCTCACCCCCACCTTACCTAAGGTCTCAAAGAGCTTTGCATTTGGACCAAAGAAAGGATTGACTGGAGTAGAAGGCCCAGAGGTTTTGAGGTTTTCCCTCCTATCCCACTGTGTAGCTGTGAAGTGTGATGATACAGACGTCGGGCTAGGGAGCCGAAATGTTTCTTTTTGCTTCCAGGTTCTTGAAATCGAAGTTGATTAACACAAACTTTGGAGACCTATATATGCCTAGTACCGGGGCTCTCATGCTGCTGACAGCCTTGCACACGTGTGACCAGGTAAGAGGCCTTCTCTTCCAGAAGCCTACGGCAGCAGAACCCAGCAGGATCCCCTGATATCCCTTACCCTCAGACCTGCGACTCTGGCCTCTGTTCGTGGAACCCCCAGCTCCAAGAGTGTTGGTGCTGCCCACTTCCTTGCCGTCACCTGGGCCAGCCTTGCCTTGGCTCCTGACATCTGCCCCAGGCTTCCTTCTTTCTTTGCTCTTCACCAAGGCAGCCACTCAATATGGTATTTAAGGCTCAAGTCATCTAACTGCCCTTCTGAAAGCCAATCTCTTCAACACACTGGGCCAAACAGGGCCATTCTTCTATGGGGACATCCTAGAGCTGGGGTGGGGCAGCAGGTGTAGCCTCCCACACACAAACACTTTGAAATCACCCTAAATCATTCCTGATGGGATTTGCCCATGTGAACCTCATGGAGACAGGGGCTGAGCGGCAGCTTTCAAGGAGAGGCTGTGGCCCATGCTAAAGCTGGTTTGCAGAGCTGGAGGCCAAATGCCACTCCATGACTCAGGCCTACACCTTTTCCTTTTTTTTTTTTTTTTTTTTTGAGACAGGGTGTCACTCTGTCACCCAGGCTTAAGTGCAATGGTGTGATGATCCTCCCGCCTCAGCTTCCCAAGTAGCTGCCCGTCAGCTAGTTTTTACTTTTCACAGGGACAGGGTCTCACCATGTTGCCCAGGCTGGTCTCAAATTTCCAAGCTCAAGTGATGCAGCCACCTCAGCTTTCCAGTGTTGGGATTACAGGCATGAGCCACCACACTAATCCTCTGTCTATTTTAATACAACAGTAGCAGGACGTGGTGGTTCATGCCTGTAATCCCAGCGCTTTGGGAGGCAGAGGCGGGTGGATCGCCTGAGGTCAGGAGTTCAAGACCAGCCTGGCAAACACGGTGAAACTGGCTCTACTAAAAATACAAAATTACCCGGGCGTGGTGGTGCGTAACTGTAATCCCGGCTCGCAGGAGGCTGAGGCAGAATCACTTGAACTTGGGAGGCAGAGGTGACAGTGAGCCAAGATTGCACCACTGCACTCCGGCCTGGGCAACAGCGAGACTCCATCTCAAAAAAATGCAGGAGTGTCTTAACTGCAATCCCCAGTTAGGATGGGGAGTAGTAATGGGCTTTTGCCTCCACCCTCAAGTTCCAAATGCAGCTGTCAGTCACCAGCTGTGCAAGTGGGGACAGTGAGTCACCGCTGAATCTGTCCCCCCACTTGTATGTGGGAATAAGCCCTAGACCACTTCCTACATCCTCGCCTTAGCAAGGGGACACCTTTCTAAACTCATGTCACGTCACACGAGTCTGTTTGTACACAGTAGATGCTCAATAAATACTAACCCAATGACTACCCTTGCCCAGGTCAGTGCCTATGGATTCATCACAAGCAACTACTGGAAATTTTCTGACCACTACTTTGAACGGAAAAAGAAGCCATTGATATTCTACGCAAACCACGATCTGTCCCTGGAAGCCGCCCTGTGGAGCGATCTGCACCAGGCCGGCATCCTTCAGCTCTATCAGCGCTGACGCCAAGGTACTGAGCCTTTGCCTCTTACAGAACGGTGGCCCTGATCCTCTCAGGCAGCCAAAAGCCTTTTTCTTAACTTCTCCATCTTGAAAGTCTTCACCTTCCCTTCTTTCCAACAGAAGGCACTCGGGGGAACTGACGACAGGAGGCCTGTTCAGTGCAGGACACCCCAGCCTGTCCTTGGCTCATCCAAGGAAACTCCTCTATGCAACTACAACAATACATCTCAATTTTGGCCAAGGGAGGACGGACTGTTTTGCTGGATTTGCACCGGGCAACTTGATGTCAGTGGAGTGCTCACCGCGATCAAACAGCAGTCCAGGCAAGAAGCCAAGCCACCCGCTGCAGCTCAAATCCTCTGGTGGGGCATCCTACCTGAGGCTCAAGTGATTCAAGGACTCCAGGATACCTCTTAAGAGCCTTTCTGAGAACATGCTAGACTTACCTCTGCTCCATAATAAAGTGGGAGACCAAAAGGCAGAATGTAACTGGAGACTAGGTAACTGTGCACACAACGGAGCACCAGTCTGTCTTTTTTTTTAGCTGGGTAGAGAAATCATGTAAAATGCAGGGCGTTTTAGTATGGAGATCACTCAGAATTCAACAACACTGGAGAGGTCTGGCACTGGATGGGGGTTAGATGCTTAGCAGCCTGCCTGCCACTGAGGGAAGCCCCATTAGAAACATCACCACCTTGTCACCAACAGGATGACGACGCTACCAGCTAATAAACCCTCATCCTCGTATCATGGCTGCAGTGAATTTGAACTTAGCTGACAGTAATTCCTAATTTTATTGTGCGTGGTTTTAAAGAAGTCTCATCCAAACAAGTTACCACACAGCACTTAACCAAACCCTGGGGTTTAGTCCTGATGACTAAATGGCTTTGCAGTCTGAGATGCTTCGGTGTGCAAGGCTGCGGGAGTGTCTTCACAGGGACAGCTGGCAAGAGCCTTCCCAAGGCAATAGCAATCATGTTGGTCAATTTAGGGCACAGTCTGCTTCTGTAGACTTTGAAATCAGCTTTGAAAAGCTGATTCTATCAACACACTTTACAAGAGGGATGGGGATTAACTCAGTCACCAGAAACAAAACACCACTTCAGAAATTCAGAGACCTCTGATCAACAGAATAGACATTTGGGCTTTAATTGCCAAAGCAGCTACTTAGAAAAAACCACAGCATTCTGCTGCCTGGACAGCAGGAATTAAGAGACATTTCAGAGCTGCTGGCACCAGCACAGAGCCTCTCAGCTCACTTGACCCTGGCAATCTTAAACAGTTCCTCCTTGGTCTCCATGATAGCAGTTATGTTCTTTTGGGTTTACTTGGTTTGGAAAGAATGTAGTCAAATGTGGAATACATAAGGCAGCCTTCAACAGTCACAGTCCATCCTAGTATCTTATGTAGTGATCTTTTAGTCAAGAAACTTGAGGCTGGTAGTGGGCTTGGAGCCAAAGATCACTGGAGTACAGGAGTTCGAGACCAACCAGGATAACAGAGTAAGACCCCCAACCTTAAAATTTTTTTTTTTTTTTTTTTTTGAGACGGAGTTTCACTCTTGTTACCCAGGCTGGAGTGCAATGGCGCGATCTCGGCTCACCGCAACCTCCGCCTCCTGGGCTCAGGCAATTCTCCTGCCTCAGCCTCCTGAGTAGCTGGGATTACAGGCACGTGCCACCATGCCCAGCTAATTTTTTGCACTTTTAGTAGAGACGGGGTTTCACCATGTTGACCAGGATGGTCTCGATCTCTCGACCTCGTGATCCACTCGCCTCGGCCTCCCAAAGTGCTGGGATTACAGGCTTGAGCCACCGCGCCCGGCTAAAATTTTAAAAAAGGAAAAATGGCCAGGTGTGGCGGCTCACACCTGTAATCCTAGCATTTTGGGAGGCCGAGGTGGGCAGATTGCCTGAGTTCAGGAGTTCAAGACCAGCCTGGGCAACATGGTAAAACCCTGTCTCTACTAAAACACAAAAAATTAGCCAGGTATGGTGATGTGTGCCTGTAGTCCCAGTTACTCAGGAAGCTGAGGCACAAGAATCACTTGAACCTGGGAAATAGAGGTTGCAGAGATCATACCACTACTCTTGTCAGCCTGGGCGACAGAGCAAGACTGTCTCAATAAATAGTCTCAAAAAATAAAAAAATTTAATTTTAATTAAAAAAAAATAAAAGCAGTAATATAAAATGTAAAAAAAAAAAAAAAAGAAAAAGGAACCTGATTATCTTAGTGAGCCAACACTAGATATTTTCTGACCACTATTTGAAACAAAACCACTGATATTCTATGCAAACCATTATCTGTTCCTGGAAGCCACTCTGTGGAGGCACCAGGAGAACTCTCATCAATCCTTTATTGATTTGAAGTGAAAGTGCTAAAGCAGTGTTTGTGGGTGGCAACCCATTAGCAGATCAGAAAATCAATTTAGTGGATAAGTAAAAAGAGAAAACTCAGGCTAGCATCCTGTGTACCAGGGTTAAGCATCACTCTCTGAAACTCATCAGTTTCCCCTTAGGTCCTCCGACAGAGTAGAATCACGTTAACTTCAGTTTATAATCCTTGTCCCATCGATTTGTGAGAGTACACCCAGGTCATCCGTAGTGGAGGTCTGAAAACGTTCTTGGTTGTATTCTAATTTCACTAACTGCCAAAAGGTTTTCCAGAATAATCTTAGTCACTTCATTCCTTTAAAGATGAAGCCCAGAGAACGCATGGCAATTACTTTAGAGGAACAATTAGCCACAGAGGCAGGGCTGTGCCGATCCCATCTGGCATCGCTGGGAGCTAACCTGTAAAACAGGAGAATAATTTGAAGTAACAGCTAAGGAAGTGACTCAAAACTGAATGCTATATAACAACTAATTTGGGAGGAAAAGGCAATCAGTCTAGGAGCACCCATTCTCACCACCATTACGCATGTGTGCACGGGGGAGCATAACGGGCACTCTGACATGCAGGCTGGTGGGGACCCAGGATGACTAATTTTAGGCTGACGGTACCTCCGAGGGAGCAGTTTCTGGTAAGAGACCAGTAAAGAACTATTAGAAAGCACTCCCTCTGGATAGAAACATTTCAAGTCAAAGCTTATGGTTTCCTGCGAGTTCTGTAGCCAAACCCACCCAGCAGACAATCACCACTTGATAACCTGCCCCTTTCACTGTTTTACTTGCAGGCTGTAAATTTCGGGGGACAGTTTTTAGGTTCATTAAATTTCACCCAGAATACAGCTTCTTTGGTGTCTAGCAAAAATGCAACCTTAAATACAAAGAGTTTGCACACACCTCCCAATTTCGACAGAAAAGCAAAGCGGTCTTTGTGCACTTCCAGCCTGGGATTCAAAGGGGAACAAAGCCAGGCCCCCCAGCCTCCAGTGCCACTGTGCTGCTCTCTTGCTAACATGCCAGTAGTGGCACTCAGACAGGATCTAAGCTGCAAACTTAGGAGACTCCCTGGCGTTCTTAAAACAAAGCACCTGAAAACCAAACAGCCGTGGTTTCCCCTAAATGTCAGGACCCTGGAGCAGAGGCAAGGTCAGAGTCATGAACCATTGTCATGGCCACAAGCTGGCATACAGCCCACATTCCAATCTGCTTCTAAGAGTGCATTCGTTTTCTTGAAATATGTAACAAGCACTTTCGTTCCACAGTCAGAGCATAAACCAAATCCTGGCCACTTGTCCCTTCCTGCCCCCTCATACAGCCTGTACCCTCACAGCCATAATCAAGGAGCTGGAGCGAAGCAAGGCAAACCACACATTTGGTTTTCCTGTTTTAGGAGGATGATGCTCTCAAGTGGGCTCTCAGCAGGAAATGCTGAAAACGAAAAGGCGGGGCGGAGACAAACAAAAAACCACAGAACCAAACCCTTAAGCCTCAGAATAGATTGTTTCTCTCAGTCAAGGTTCTCAGACAGGGATAACTAACCACCGCAGGCTTGTAGGACTTCTTAGGAATATGAAAGATGTAAAAACATAAAGCTTACAAACAGGAAAGCAATCATTTCACTTGCTTCCAGCAAAGCAGTCCAGTTTGATCTCTTATTGCAGACACCCGGCAACAGAACGCTACTAAAGCCTCCCCGCCCCTTGGCATAGACTGCTTGAAGTCCAGAGCAGGGGAAGCAAAAAAGATGACCAATCCCCCACACCAAGCCTGTTTAGCGGTTCATCTACGTACATCCATTAAAGACGTGGTACTTTGGGTCCAGGTCAGGTCCTGGTTCAGGGCAGCGTCCACAATGTGGCTACTAGAGGATCCTTTTCCAGCCTTGGAAACTGAGGCTGACTATACCTGGGAAGGAAGAGAAAGTAAGAAAAAAAACTAATTAAGAAGATACATGCAGAGTAACTCTCAAGCAGCTTTCTTAAATTTTCTGTAAGGCAAACTTGGGAAACTGAGTTTCAGACGTTCAAATTCCACACAGAAAGGCCTTTCTTTGCCTTCGGACAGGGATAACTCGACATCATCATGGACTCAGCTCCCATCAACCTGCTGGCCCACAGCACTAACTGCCACAGCACATGCAAACTATTTTTTTTCCTATCAAATTGTTCACTTTCCTCACGCAAACTCTTAAGACAAAGTCTCATTCTGTCACCCGGGCTGGAGTGCAGTGGTGCGATCTCAGCTCACTGTAACCTCCACCTCCCAGGTTCAAGTGATTCTCGTGCTTTAGCCTCCCAAGCAGCAGGGATTACAGGGGTGCACCACCATGCTGAGCTAGTTTTTGTATTTTTAATAGTGACAGGGTCCCACCATGTTGGCCAGGCGGGTCTTGACCTCTTGGCATCAGGCGATTTGCCTGCCTCAGCCTCATAAAGTGCTGAGAATACAGGCATGAGCCTCCCGTGCCCAGCCCCGTCATGTGAACTCTTAGCCGATCTTTTTTTTTTTGAGACGGAGTTTCGCTCTTGTTACCCAGGCTGGAGTGCAATGGCGCAATCTCGGCTCACCGCAACCTCCGCCTCCTGGGCTCAGGCAATTCTCCTGCCTCAGCCTCCTAAGTAGCTGGGATTACAGGCATGCGCCACCACGCCCAGCTAGTTTTTTTGTATTTTTAGTAGAGACGGGGTTTCACCATGTTGACCAGGATGGTCTCGATCTCTTCGACCTCGTGATCCACCCGCCTCGGCCTCCCAAAGTGCTGGGATTACAGGCTTGAGCCACCGCGCCCGGCCTAGCCGATCTTGTCTGCTTTATTAGACTATGTTTTCTCTCGAGGGCATAGCTAGTGTCTGGTTGATGCACCCAGTGTCCAGATCTGGCACGCTGGCAGTTCCTGCCCTTTGAAAGACCAGCTCCCTCTCAACAGTGGTAGCTGAGTAGGGGGCATCCATTCCAGTGTCTCTCTAGATGGTCAGTACAATGCCTGCTACAGTGCAGACCACTCATCAATTTAGCTAGCCTATTCAAGACCAGCTACATAAACAGCACCTGCTGCCAAGAAGTGACGTCACAGAGGTCATATCCATTTCATCCAACCGTGTATCTAAAATTGCCCTGCAGAGCAAGCAGCAAGCATGTGGCTCAGTGTTTTAAGACAGGGGATTAGAGATCTGCCCCAGAGCTACTTAAAAATAGCCAGCACTATAATCTCACTATAATAAAATCCTTGCGCTAAAAACAGATCAGATCATCTAATTCAAGCTTGTCTAACCCATAGCCTGCATGTGGCCCAGGATGACTCTGAATGCAGCCCAACACAAATCTGTAAACTTTCTTAATTAACACTGTGAGAATTTTTTTCTTTTAGCCCATCAGCTATCATTAGTGTTAGTAGTATTTTATGTGTAGCCCAAGGCAATTCTTCCAATGTGGCACAGGGAAGCCAATAGATTGAAGACCCTGAGCTAGTTACTACCACCCATTTGCTCTTGGACTGGCCACATGATTCCTCGACTCTACTCCAGAGCCATTCTCACCCATGCCTAGAGGTGAGGCCCAGGAATGTGTATGTTTTAGCACTTTTTGGGTGGCTCTGACATACAGTTAAGTTTGGAAATCACTAACCCTGAGTATAATAGGGCGATCTCAGCTCACTACAACCTCTGCCTCCTGGGTTCAAGTGATTCTCCTGCCTCAGGCTCCTGAGTAGCTGGAATTACATGTGCCTGCCACCACACCCATCTAATTTTTTTGTATTTAGTAGAGACGAGGTTTCACCATGTGGGCCAGGCTGGTCTCGAACTCCTGACCTCAGGCGATTCACTGTGCCCGGCCAGGGTGTTTATTTATTTATTTTTGAGACGGAGTTTCACTCTTGTTACCCAGGCTGGAGTGCAATGGCGCGATCTCGGCTCACCGAAACCTCCGCCTTCCTGGGTTCAGACAGTTCTCCTGCCTCAACCTCCAGAGTAGCTGGGATTACAGGCACGCGCCACCATGCCCAGCTAATGTTTTATATTTTTATAAAACATTAAGAGACGGGGTTTCACCATGTTGACAAGGATGGTCTCAATCTCTTGACCTTGTGATCCACCTGCCTCGGCCTCCCAAAGTGCTGGGATAACAGGCTTGAGCCACCGCAGGGTGTTTATTAATAGTAGTATTCACCAGATGCCAGGAACACCCTCTCTCCCCAGTTGAGAACCACTGGTCTAATCTAACTCAGTAACTGCTTGTTTAACTTTGGGAAAGAGAACTCTCTAAGCCACACTTTTACTTATTCAGCAGCAGAGTGGGGAAAAAATTTACCTCATGTGGGATTGTTATTACAAATACTATTTGTGAGAGTGCTTGCCAAGGACCCTAGCAAAAGGATTTCCATGCTACTTCTATGATCTGTGCAATCATAACTCTGGAGTATCCACACATCTTCCAAACTAAAGACCAATACTTAAAGGAGACCATCGGCTATTCAAATCTATGAAATAAATAAAAATCTTACCATTTACAGAAATTTCATCATGAAGATCCTTACACTCAACATCTTCAGGTGATGAATTTTCACATGACTGTTTTCAAGACCACGGCCAACACCTTTAATCTAAGAGAAGGATAACAGGCTTCATTCTAACAGAAGCCCCCTTAAGGTTTAGTCTCCAGACTTGTATTAAAAGGCTGAGCCTCAGCAAGTCAGACCTCCTCACAAAAGATATCACTTCAGACAGGGATAACTTTAAATCATCCTCAGCTCAGCCAGTAACAAAGATTCCTAAATCCCAGCGATCCAAAATGCGTTTTCCACGTCTTTCACCCCTGCATGCCCTGACAAGGATCCACGTTGGCGACAGTGACACCTAGTGGCCCCAAATTACTCGGGCAGAGACCTTTTTTATCATTAAAATACTTAGCATTCTGAATTTTTCTGCGTAATTTCTTACCATAGCTGGCTTGTACGTCAACAAGTAGTCTCACATTCTAACTGCAGAATAAAGCAGGCGTTGAATGCATGTGATGGGACCAACTCTGCTTTCTCATTTCTGGCGACCACTCGGGCCCTGCCTGCACCCATTCTAACTCATGATAGAGCTCCATCCATTACTGTGAACCTTCAACCTGGAACTCTGCTTTTCACCGTATCTGCAGATGCCAAGGAAAGTCTTCTGAGGAAGGAAGAAAGGCTCGTGTTAAAACCATGGCTTTCGAGAGTAAGTCTGCAATCCTATTGATTCCTATCTGTAAAGTAAATATAAACTACCGATCGGGGTCGTCCTCAAAGCGCTCCAAGTGGAATCACGTCTTCACACGTTAACACTCGTGATGCTGAACTGAGAACCACCACCGTCAAAGTTTGCCTGTACGCGGACACCAAGGACCCCCGGGCGCCCACGCTCAGCACACGCGCGGCTAAGGGGCACGGGGTGCCCAGGTTATTAGGGCCTCTCCCCAGGCAGAAGCCGGCCCTGTAACGCCGAGGACGGGCTTGAGCTCTCACCCTTCACATGACAACATTTTCTCGCCGCCTGGAAAGCATTTTCTCACCCAGTACTTGTTAACCCTCCCAACCACCCTATGAGGGAGAAACCGAGCTTATCACCACCCCTTCGTCTCTGAGGAAGGGAGACCAAGTGTGTTAGTGTCGTGTCAAGGAAGACCCCATTTTTCCACTCAGGCAGCCTTACCACGACAAATGCCTGAGGCTGTTGACCATGCTCAACACCGACGGGACCAGCCATGACTTTCAGCCACGCGGCAGACAGCGAAAAGAACGTGAGATCGCGCCTGCGTACAAGTCTTCCCGACAATCCCTCCGGAACTCTCGCGATGTTGAGAAGGGGCTGAAGGGAAATGTAGTTCAAAACCGCGGTGGCTGGGGGCCGGCCGCGTCCTCAGCGCGACTGTAGAGCCAGGGGTAAGATGGTGGTTGCCACCAGCGGCAGTGGAGGGCCGGGGTGGGAAACCAGGACTGTGAAGAACCACGGCTGTCAGAAAACGAAGCTGGCGGGTCGCTGCTGCCATAAAATCATTGAGCTTCAGCACAGGTTGTCCCTGGCCGAGACGGGAAGCACAGAAAGTTCGAGGGGGCAGGGACGGATGAGGAAACCGGGGCCCGACCGAATATCTTTACTTGCTTTGCGGATTTTGTTTGAGGGAGGATAGGGGCATTTGGGGTGGTTCATTGGGATAGTGAAGAAGAGAGATTCCAAGGAAATCGTGCAACCTCCAGCTCAGGTGTTTTTAAGATTGGGGTGAGGCCCAGGCGCAGGCGGCAGGGGGCGCTCGAGAGCGACGGGGCTCGGCCTCCGCAGCTGCCCGGGGCGAGCGTGCTTTTTATTCCGAGAAAGGAAAACAGACAAGTGTCACGAGTGGAATCACGAAAAGAACGGAGAATAATGTAACCTCCACCGCTCTTCTGAGGGTTATTTTCCAGGCAACCACCTTGGCTTCATTTTTTTGTTTCTGGGGTTTTTTTTTTTTTTTTTGGTTTGTTTTTGAGACAGGGTTTTCACCCCGTCACCCAGGCTGGAGTGCAGTGGTGCAATCATAGCTCATTGCAGCCCCGACCTCCTGGGCTCAAGTGATCCTCCCGCCTCAACCTCCCGAATGGCTGGGACGACAGGCGAGCGTCACCATGCCCGGCTGATTATTTTTATTTCGTGGAGATGAGGTAGGTCTCACACTGTGTTGCCTGGGTTGGTCTCAAACTCCTGGCCTCAAGCAATCCTCCTGTTTTGGCCTCCCAAAGTGCTGGGATTACAAAGGTGAGTTACTGCGCCCAGTCTGGCTTCATTTTTTAAGTAAAAATAAGGCAAAAACGACAACTAGGACCAGAATTTGCCCCTATTTGGAAGTTAGTTTAAATTTGCAAGACCAAGAGCTGCTTCTGCATTCCAGTCTCCCCATTCCCATCCACCCCTTACTATGGCCTTTGGTGTGGTTTATATTGTCCTGCAGGTAGTAATATGTTGCAGATACTTATCTTCAAATCACCACCTTTGCTTATGTTTACCTCCTTTCATTTGAGTGTAAGCTCTTCAAGGGCAGAAGTCTGTTTTTATTTTTATTTATTGTTTGTTTTTGAGATGGAGTCTCGCTCTGTAGCCCTGGCTGGAGTGCAGTGGTGCTGTCTCGGCTCACTGCAAACCTCCACCTCCTGGGTTCAACCAATTCTTCAGCCTCCCAAGTAGCTGGGATTACAGGCACGCACCACCATGCCCGACTATTTTTTGTAGAGATGGGGTTTCACCATGTTGGCCAGACTGGTCTCAAACCCCTGACCTTGTGATCTGCCTGCCTGGGCCTCCCAAAGTGCTGGGATTAGAGGCTTAGCCACTCCGCCCAGCCAAGTAGCCATTCTTTTATTCCATTGCTTTTCTAATAAACTTGCTTTCACTTTATGGACTCACCCAAATTCTTTCTTGCTTAAGATCCAAGAACCCTCTTTTGGGGTCTGGATCAGGACCCCTCTCTGGTAACACTATCACTGCCCCCATTTCACAGATAAGGAAATGGAAGCACTGGGAAATTCGGTAACTTGCCCAAATTCACATAACCGGTAACTGGCAGGGTCAGGGTTTGCTCCCAGCCTGTAGAATTCATGCTTTTACTACTAATGAATAAGATGATCTAGGCCGGGTGCGGTGGCTCAAGCCTGTAATCCCAGCACTTTGGGAGGCCGAGGCGGGTGGATCATGAGGTCGAGAGATCGAGACCATCCTGGTCAACATGGTGAAACCCCGTCTCTACTAAAAATACAAAAAAATTAGCTGGGCATGGTGGTGCATGCCTGTAATCCCAGCTACTTAGGAGGCTGAGGCAGGAGAATTGCCTGAGCCCAGGAGGCGGAGGTTGCGGTGAGCCGAGATCGCGCCATTGCACTCCAGCCTGGGTAACAAGAGCGAAACTCCGTCTCAAAAAAAAAAAAAAAAAAAAAAAGATGATCTTATATATAAGGACTTTTGTTTTGGAAGAGGAAGGGAGAAGGAAGATTTCATGTGTTTGTAGGGGCGGTTGGGAACAAAATCAGAAACGAGGTTGAAAGGAGGAACAATGAGCACCTGCTCTGCCACGGGAGCCACTTTGTGGCAGGAAGAGTGAGGAAGGGAGGCTGCAGGGCTGATGTGTGGAAGACGGGGGCTCCGGGCTCTGGCAGGGCTATGGTGGGCCAGGATGCCACCCAGTGTATGGTGAAGGCCATTCTTCACATTCTTCACTCTGCCACGGGCCACCGAGTCACTTTCATACCTGACTGGACACCACTTCCCCAGCAGTAGGCTCGTGGCAGATGTCCTAGGATGCTAGGGCAGCCGGGCAGTGGCCAGGAGGCTGGAGAGGCCCTGTACCTGAGCACACGTTAAGTAACGGCACAGCCAACCCAGAAATAAGGGGAAACTTCAGAGATGCATCAGAATTCCTGACTGAGCCGGCAAGGGCTGAGCTGTTGAGACTGAAGTGTTGATGTTACTGTGATCTCATTTGCACTCATTGCTGGTGAGAGCTAGGACATCTGAGTGTTTCCTACCGTAGAATTATTATAGAGCCATTATACAAGGCTAGTGCAGACCTCTGTTTATTGACATGGAAAGAGTCACAGTCTAGTAACCCTTTACAAGCAGGAAGGCAGAAGTCCCCAGTGCTGTTCAGGGACACAGGCTCTGAGTGCAAAGGGAAAATCTGGTCAGCAGGCCCACTGTGTTGGGGCAGTCACTGACAGGGTTGAAGACATGGTGTCTGAAACCCACAGTAATAGAAAAGGGTCTTTGGGCTGGTCGCAGTAGCACACGCCCATAATCCCAACACTTTGGTTAGCCAAGGCAGGAGGATCGCTTGAGCCCAAGAGTTCAAGACCAGCCTGAGCAACACAGGGAGACCCCCATCTCTACAAAAAAAAATTTTTTAAGCCGGGCGCGGTGGCTCAAGCCTGTAATCCCAGCACTTTGGGAGGCCGAGGCGGGTGGATCACAAGATCAAGAGATCGAGACCAACCTGGTCAACATGGTGAAACCCCGTCTCTACTAAAAATACAAAAAAAAATTAGCTGGGCATGGTGGCACGTGCCTATAATCCCAGCTACTCAGGAGGCTGAGGCAGGAGAATTGCCTGAAGCCCAGGAGGCGGAGGTTGCGGTGAGCCGAGATCGCGCCATTGCACTCCAGCCTGGGTAACAAGAGCGAAACTCCGTCTCAAAAAAAAAAAAAAATTTTTTTAATAAAATAGCCAGGTGTTGTGGTACATGCCTGTAGTCCCAGCTGGACAGGAGGCTGAGGTGGGAGGATTGGGGGATTGAGGCTGTGCAGTGAGCCATGACAAACCTCTCTTTTTTTTGAGACAAAGTCTTTCTCTGTCACCCTCCCTCTGTCACCTTGAGCAAAAATAAAGCAAACAGAGTCTTTAGAATATTGAGATTACTTCTCAACCCAGAACAGAATCCTTAATTTTATTAGTAAGAACACAGAAGAAGGTAGGTAGTGTCCCAAGCAGCTGACTGCTTACATCTGGAACAGTGACCAGCAGCAATATCCAGGAAGCACATGTGTATGGCAGGCACTGTTAGTGGCCAGTCTCTTCCTCCAGCTGATGAGCCTACGCTCTCTTCAGCTGCTGGGCGAGGGTCTGCTTCAGCAGGGGCTGGGACAAACCTTGATTCATCTGTACCAGATGTGGTGAGTCTATTCCCTTTGCTGGACATTGTTTTGGGAAAGGGTCTGTGATGCAATTCTGGCCAAGTTTAGGAAGGTTTTCCTGCTTTTAAAAACAACAGCCTCTCTTCTGGCTTAGGGACACTGTGAAGAAGTGATGCTGGGCCTGCTGGAGCCGTCTTGCATCTGTGAGGCTTCCGTTAAGCAGGAGCCGAAGGACTACGATGGCAGAGTAGAGAGAAGAAAGAACGAGTCCTCAGTGTTGCGGAAACCGCCAGTCTCAACACCCCCACAATTCAGACCTCTTGCTTTGATTCAGAGACACATTTGTACAGATACAGATATATATGTACAAAAATATATATATAATACATATTTGTATATGTCCATATATATTTCTGGAGACAGAGGTTTGCTTTTGTCTCCCAGGTTGGAATGCAGTGGCATGATCTCAGCTCACGGCAACCTCCACCTCCTGGGTTCCTGTGATTCTCCTGCCTCAGCCTAGTAGCTGGGATTACAGGTGTGCACCACCACGCCCAGCTAATTTTTGTATATTTAGTAGAGAAGGGGGTTTGGTCATCTTGGCCACAGGTGGTCTCGAGCTCCTGACCTCAGGTAACCCACCCACCTCAGCCTCCCAAAGTGCTGGGATCACAAGCATGAGCCACCATGCCAGGCTGCATTTTCATGTTCTTAAATGCAGGATGTGTCTTACAAGCAGTGACATCTCAGTTTGAGTGAATTATGAAATGTGAGATTTCAAAAAGAAATTAAGTCATTTTTAATTTGGGTGTTCTGTTTCAGTCAAATCATCCTAAATGATATCTTTTTAAAATAATTCTTCCCGGAAGAATGGGTCATGGCAGAAGACAGAAGATGAGCTGTGTGTGCAAGCTTCCTCTCTGAAATAACAGCAGCTGTGCATACGAAGTGTTTGCTCCGCACCAGGTACTCTCAAAACACCTTTTATTCACTGTACAGCCCTGCCATTATCCCCCACACACACCCATTTCGCAGCTGAGGAAGCCGAGGTACAGAAACGTTAAAGGAATTCACATTAAGGCACTGAGACCTGAACTCAATCCAGCCTAAAAACCCATGGTCTCAGCCACCGTGCCCTGTTTCCTACAAAAATTACACTGTGACAGTGGAACGTTTTTGCCTAACTCCAGAGATTTTAATTCATCCCCCTAGAAAACCCGTCATGAAAATGTAGAGGATTTTTTTCCTGAGAGTTCTTGGGACCGTGAAACAGGGTCACAGGTCCTGTTCAGATATCTGGGATCATGTAGATGACCAGGCAGATGGAAGAAAAGTAAAAATATAAAAATAAAACAGAAAACTGGGATCACTGCATTAAGTTTAACTTAGCTTTACCTTTCTGGAGGCAGAGAAACATAACATAGACCCTATGCATTGAGAATAGATGAGCTTGGAGTTGCGGATTATCCGTGCTCGCCAGCAGCGTCCAGGAAGAAAAGCAATGCATGTGACATCCCTGCTTGCAAGAGTCACTGCCTCTAGACTATCACTCAAAAATTGATTTTTTAAAAATAAAAATAAATGAATTTGGAGACGATAATAATGTTCCATGGATCTCTTCTGTCATTTCCTGGACGTGTCTCTCCATGCCCAGAAACCCCTGCCTTCTCACAGCCGTTGCCTAACCTTTAGCTTGTGATGGTGTGTATTCCTTTTGCCTTGAAAGTCCCTTCCCTGCATCTTCCCTGCTCAGCAAATTCCAGCTGGTACTTAAATACCTCCTCTGCGAAGTCTTGACTGAGATGCTGCAGCAATTCCCGAGCTGTTTCCTCGTGGCACCTTTCCGCTGGCAGGTGGATTAGCACATTTTCTGCAATCCAGGATGACCCGGAGGAAAATCCCAGCTCTACTGATTCTAGCTGAGTAACCTTGGCAAAGGTCACCTCACTTCCGAGTCTCATTTTCTCATCGGAGGAGGAGGAGGAGGAGGAGAAGCCAGGAGGAGGAGGAAGAGGAGGAAGAGCCAAACCTCGCTGGAGGTCTGCTTCAGAGCACTTCGCACAGTGCCTGGTGCAAGGTAAGCACTTGATCAATGGAGTTTGTGTTATTTCAACATACTTGGAACACTCATCCCACTCTTTTATGATTATGTATGTCCGGCTTTTCTGCTAGATGGTGAGCAAAACAAGCATCAGTCTTCATACGTCATCTTTATTCTGGTGCAACTTACATACAATGCAGTGTAACCATTTACAATGTATGGTTCAGTCGTCCAGGACGTGTATACACCCATGTAACCACAATCCCAGTTAAGATTTAGAACACTTTTGTCACCACAAAATCACCTTCTTAGGCAGGGCTGGTGACTCATGCCCGCAATCTCAGCACTATGGGAAGCCGATGCAGGTGGATCACCTGAGGTCAGGAGTTTGAGACCAACCTGGCCAACATGGCAAAACCCTGTCTCTACTAAAAATACAAAAAATTAGCCAGGTGTGGTTGTGGGCGCCTGTAGTTCTGGCTACTCGGGAGGCTGAGGCAGGAGAATCACTCGAACTCAGGAGGCAGAAGTTGCAGTGAGCCAAGATCGCTGCCATGGCATTCCAGCCTGGGTGACAAGAGTGAAACTCTGTCTCAAAAAAAAAAAAAAAACTTCTTACCCTTGCAGTCAACCCTCATATCTAACCCTGGGCCCACTCAACCACAGATGCCTTCTGTCACTATCAGTTGGTTTTGCCTGTTCTAGAATTCCATGCAGATAGAATCACACAGTAGGTAGCCTTTTGTGTCTGGCTTCTCTCGATTTACCCATGTCTTTTGCATCCATTGTTCATTTCCGTTTCCTTGCTGAGTATTAATTCTATATATTAATATATCTCAGTTTGCTCACATGTTGAGGAATATTTGGGTTATTTCCAGTTTGGAGCTATTACTAATAAAGTTGCCGTGAACATTTTTGTAGTCTTTTTTGTGGATGTATGTTTTCATTCCTCTGGGATAACTTTATAAGAAACTGCCACGCTGGTTTGCCAGGTGCTTGTAACACTTCACCAGTCCCCAGCAGTATATGATATATGACAGGGTCACATCTTGGCCGGTACTTACTATAGTCAGCCTTCAGCTTTAATCACTCTGGTAGTCATGTAGTGGTATCTCATTTGGGCTTTGATTTGCATATTGAACATCTTTCTTTCCCATAGTGCTGGGATTACAGGCATGAGCCACTGCGCCTGGCCACATGCTGAACATCTTTCGATGTATTTGCTGTATGTATAATTTCGTTGTAGTGTGTATTAAAACCTTTCCGCACTGTTTTATTGGGCTGTCTTATTATCGAACTGTAAAAGGTCTTTAAGTATTCTGGATACAAGTCCTTTCTCAGAGTTTTGTTTGGCAAATATTTACTCCCAGTCTTTCCAAGAGCAGAGGTTTCATTTTGATGAATTCCAATGCATTGCTTTTTGTTTTCTGGTTAGTGCTTTTTGTATCCTGTTGAAAGGACCTTTCCTTCTCCATTGGATTACTTGTGCTGCATCTGTTTTTGGATTCTGTTGATCTGTGTGTACGTCCTGATGAATCGCACACCATCTTGAGCTCTGATTCTGTCTTCTCCTCCCCGTAGCAAAGCCACGATGGTCCACTTGGGTTTCCATTCCCAAACCATAGTCAGGGACCTGGTTCCAGGCAGTCGTGGGGTCACTGTCCTGTGTGCTGCCTGTTGTCAAGTGTCTGTTTCTTATATTTTGCCCAGTTTTCTGGTTGTTAAGTGGCAGAAGGTCTTAATCCGTTTCTGGATCCACAGGGCCTGGCACACAGCACCTCCAGACACAGTTCATTATAGTCGTTTTCGATTGGGAACGTCGGTGGAGCCCCCAGAGAGCTTCTGGTCCATCCCCTTCATTTTCCGGAGGAGATCATTAGTCCTTCGCATCCTCACCCCAGCCCACTGGGGCTTGATGAATGTTTATCAAATGGGGAAACCAAGGTCCAGAGAACAAAAGGTCACAGGGACAGGCAGGGTTGGGCTGGCAGAACGAGGCCACCTAGGCTGGGGCCTTCCTCTAGGACCAACCGGCAGGGCAGAGTCTGTCTCTCCCGGCAGCTGACACAGGGTTTGTACATTGCAGGTTCCCAGAGCAAGCTTGTTAAATAAATGACCAAATGAACACATTATTTTAACACTTCGTTCAAAATGGCTTCTGCCTCTGTATATATTAAGTATATGTGTGTCTGTGTGTGTATGTCTATGTATGTGTATATGTCTATGTGCATATGTGTGTGTGAATGTGTATGTGTAAGTGTGTGCATATGGGTGTATGTGTATGTGTGTGTGCGTGTGTGTAGGTGTGTGCATATGTGTATATGTGTATGTGTGTGTATGTGTATGTGTAGGTCCAAGAGCAGAGGTTTATGTATGTGTAGGTCCAAGAGCAGAGGTGTGCATATGTGTGTATGTGTATCTGTGATTATGTGTGTGTATCTGTGTTTGTGTGAATGTGTGTGTACATCTGTGTGAATGTGTATGTGTGAATGTGTGTGTATATATATCTGTGTTTATATGTGTGTGTGAATGTGTGTGACTGTATGTATATGTGTATGTTTGTGTATATGTGTGAACGTGTGTGTGAACTGTGTGTGAATGTGTGTGTATATCTCTGTGTGTGTGTATATCTGTGTGTGTGTTCACATAGGGACCGGGCTGGCCTCTCCTACCCAGGCTCATAGGCTGAGTCTGTTAGCAAATTTTTTTGGTTTTAATTTTCTCAGGCCCCTACAGTTGTAATCCCCACTATGGGGCACATGTGTCCCACAGAGAGGGTCTGTGCTCCTTAGGCACAAGGACTGGCTGCCAGGTGTCAGCGGATCCCCCTCAAAGCCACCTCCTTGGTCTCCACGTCCTGCACCCTCCCCCTGCAACACCAAATCAAGACAGCCTTCCTCGCCAGGCTCCCCCTTCTCCAGCTGGGCTTCTGGCTGCCGTCTTCTCTTCTCCCCAGGGCCCTGCCCCTGGCTGAAGGAGAAAACGGAGTGGCAGTGACAATAGGTGATGACCTCGCTGTCTGTCATCTCTACCAGGGGCCACCACTTCCTCCCTGAGGAAGACTGAGGAATCCTAGCAGGGTAGCTGTCCTCTCCGTGTCACCTGGCAGGCAAGAACCAGCCTCTCAGGGCCCAGCGTCTGGTCTGCCCTTGAAAGCGAGTTCCTGAAGACAGAACAGTGGCAATGACCCTGGCTGACACCAGCCCACCTGCAGAGGCAGGCTGGGCGGGACCACAGCTCCATTCCTTGTGCCTTGTAGATGGGTCACAACCAGAATTCCCTCACAGCCCCCAACTCCAGTCTCGGGCCCACTCTATCCCAAGCTTTGGCATCAGATTTCTCAGGCTTAGGTCCTGGCTTCACTGCCAGCTACGAGTGATCTTGAGCAAGTTCTGTGAACTTCACTTTCCTTATTGGATAAATGATAACAGTTCCTGCCACATAAAATACAGCAGTTGGCACAGTGCCTAGCACATAGTAAGTGCCCAATGCATGCTAGTGGTTATTAATCATACGGTTAGTATCATTATCATTATATTAACATAAGCTTCCGTGCAAACCACTTTGCTGTTCTTCTGAGATTCACAAAGAGGCATGATTTTCCTACCAAAATCTGTATTAGGGTTAAAAAAAAGAAAAAGAAAAGAAGCATGATTTTCGTCTAGCTTTAGCTCTACATCTTGGGCTTCTTCCTAACAGTGAGGCCCCCTGCAGTGGGGCTACGGGAGCCTGAGGAACAGCAGGGTTCACTCTTATGCCATTGTGCCTGTCTCAGAGTGGGCACCATGCCCTACCCATCTAGTCTTGGCTCAGCACCTCTGCTGTTTGCCCTTGCCCAGGACTGTCTGCGCGCACACACACACACACACACACGCACACGCACACACACAGCTGCACACTTGGGGTGGGTGGGTACTCCCCAAGGTGACGTCTACACCCCAGGGTGACGGTGGACAGCAGCAGCCGCTGTGGCTACTTCCCTCGCTCCCACCTCATCCCGCCGCCTCATTAGTTCCCTGGTCATGCTCCAGTCTCCAGGAGAGACTGGCAGCCGCCCTGAGCCTCAGTCACAGGAGCGGCACCTCCCTGCTCCTGGCTGCTGCCCTCAGCCGCCCTGCAGCTCCCAGCAGCCTTTCCCCGTCACTCAGGCTCCCCCGGCAGAGAGATCAGCATTGACACAGAGGAAGGCACCACATCAGGGCTGCGCCTCCCGTCTTGTCAAGCAGCTGAAGTTCATTCCAGAAGCAGAGCCAGTTGCGGTGGCAGTGTCCATGCCAAGACCACCACTGGGGGTTGGGGCAGGGTTTTGGACACAGGCAGTGACAGTCTTTGGCATACTGGGTGCTTCCCCACCCCAGCAATGGCGCCCTCTGCCATCCTCTAATCTGTTGCAGAACTGCTGGCTGCCCAGCTCTGTTTGTGGAGAAGGGGCAGGACCACAGAGTGAGAGGTGAGGAACTCTAGCTGTCCTGAATCTACCACTGTTCAGTAATTTACGGTTCGAACCTAATTGTGCCAGCTCACATATATGGGGCACTTACCCAACGTGTTAAGCTGTTACATGCATTATCTAATCTACTCTTACAACAACTCTAAGAGATAGATAGCACCATGATCGCCATCCTACAGCTAAGGAAACTGAGGCACAAAGGTGTTCAGAAACCTACCCAGGCCACAGAGTTAGGACGCGCTGGTGGAACAAGGTTCAAACCCAGGAGCTCTGACTCTGGATGCCTTCCTCTTGGACTCTGTTATTTCACAGTAGCCAGCACCCTGGACCAGAAGGGACCCCACCCTTTGCCTCAGCTCCGCCTCTCTAGTTGCCCTTTATTTACCCTCTCCTAAGCCCCTGAGAACTCCTGCTCCCATTCCCAAGCAGTGGCTCCTTGCAAGGAAACGGGAGGAGAAAGCACTCAGCTTCCGTGGGTACAGTGTCCTCGTCAGGACTTAAGCCATTGCCCGACTTAAAGGTCCACCCTAGACCTGAGCTTCACACCAACCCCTGTGATGGGAGCCAGTGGGCCGAGGAAGGGGCGCCTGGGTCCCGGGAGCCTTCTGTGGGGAGCTCTAGGCTGAGAGAGGCAACTTTCTGCAGCAGGAGCTGCAAATGTGCAGATTGCGCAGAGAACCCAGGGTGGGAGAGGCCCTGGGAATAAGAGGCGAGCGTGGGCTGGGTGTGCGGGGAAGGTGTAAACACAATCTGCTCCCACCAAAGCCAGCCTGCTCCCTGGGGGAGAGAGCCCCCACCAGCCCACATGGCACCCCAGCTGCCCAGGCAACCTCCAAGCCCAGGCAGCCACAGCCCCACCGCCAGCCAGCAGCCCCTTCCTCTCTCTTTCCTGCCCTTCATCTAGACCAGGTCCCTGGAGCAGCGGGCATCTCCTCGCAGGGGCGCTGCCTTGGGGAAGTGCATCTGGGCCGTAAGCCAGCCCCATGACCTTGGCCTGACAGTTCCTCAGACCAGTGGAAGAAGATAGGCAACTTGGAAATGGCAGCAAGGATGAGGTGACAGGAACATGGCAAATAGATGAGAGAATAAATGCAGATAGGATCAGGGAACACAGACTGGGTCCCCGGAACAGTGCCCTCTGGCCCTCAGCCTGACAGGCCTGTCACCAGGAAGGCCGATGCCTCTCGGGAGAGAGACAGGCTGACAGGAGCTGAGACAGGTGGTCACAGGCTCACGGCCTGGGTCAGGTTGGCGCTCTGGCTTTGCCCCTGGGGGCCCATTCCCTAGTGTGACTTTCCCCCTGCCTCCTGCCTGCCCTACTTTGAGAGGCTCCCACAGAACTGCCTTCGCACACACCCCAGCCAGGCTCCCCGAGGGAGCAGCAGCCCCTCCCCAGCGGGGTGCGCCTCCTCCCCCACCCTGCGTGCCTCCCCAGTGGTTCCCTCTCCTCTGCGGCATCCCTCACCCTTTCCCTTCCTTCCTTTCAGAGGTGGAGCAGCGGCTTGAGGTGCTGCTGTCTAGAGAACTCCTCCGTCTCCTACTGCCTGAAAGTCAAGGTCAGGGGCCAGCCAGGCGGAGACATCGCCGCTGGGCTGGCAAAGGGAGCTGGCTGGGGAGGAGACACTCATGTGCACGGAGGCATGGGGGGCTTTTGAAGACTAATAGCTGTGAGATGTCGGGAGCAGCTGCCTGCAGGGTCTGCGCCTGGATCTGGGAGTAGAAGCGGAAATCTGCTTTTATCTCTGCTCAGGATCGCAGGATTGCAAAGCGAGAAATGGCAGAGCGGCTGGGGGCAAAGGAGGCAGCCGCGGGGACTGAGCATCAGCAAATTGACAAAAACAAGTGTCAGGCTTTTTCCTTCCCACACGCTACTGCCCATTTGGAACACACGCGCCCGAGCACACACGCAGAAAACACATTGGGAGGACAAGCTGTCAGTTGCTCCCATCCAGCTGCAGGCAGACATGTCACAGATCCAACTGGCGCTTCTTATTGATAATTTCAGCAGAGCAGCCAGTGACAGGAGGAGCTCTGGGGAATGGGGAAAGGCAAGTGCCACAGAAGCGAGTGCCACCGTGGCCAACTGACACCAGCACCTCGGACCACAAGCGGAGGCTTCACAGAATAGCTCCTGGGCTGACAGGCAGTGGCTGGACCGGCAATCCGCCCCCCACCCCTGCAAACTGTGCTGGGTTCCAGGGGGAGGCTGCCTGCCAAGGTGGGTAGGAGCGTGGGCTCTGCAGCTCCAGTGTGAGCCTGGGAGCCTCCATGTACTAGCTAGGTGATGCTGGGCAAATGATTTAACCTCTCTCTGTGTTTCCTCATTTAGAAATTGTGGATAATAACATTACCAGGCTCTGTGGATGTCTGAGGATTAAATTACAGAATGAATGGAAGCCCTTGCTTAGTAAACGTGAGCCATCGGCCATCCCTTGCTTCTGGGGTCTCCTCACTCCTTACTTATTCCTGCCTCTTGCCTGGGCTGCTGGCTTCCCTGGAATTAGCCTGGAGGACCCAGCAAGTCCCTCACCCTGGGTTTTCTCAGACTCAGCAGTTCCTCAAAGGAGCCTCAGGAACACAGAGGGAAGGGGGCCCATCTGAGAGCAGCGAGCACCTCTGCTGTTTCTGCCAGGCCCAGCCAGGTCCTGCTCAGGAGCCCGCAGCCAGGGCCCGGGGAAAGGGGAGACTGGCAGGTCCTGGGCTGAAAGTGGGGGTACCTACCCTTTAGTGCTGCTTTTCCCCATTGTCCCTCTTGCTGCTGCCCCGGCTCCCACAGCATCCTCCTGGACTAGGGGACGAACCAGGACTTGAGCTGAAACAGGAAATCGGAACAGATGAGCACTTCTCCCACACCTGGGGATGGGACTTGCATTTCAGAGTGGACGCTGCAGAGCACCGCCTCTCCCTTGAATGTCCTCCGACACTGCCCTTGTGCCCCAGCATGACCACCACACCATCCCCAAGCCTAGAAAATGTGGTCAAACCACACGTGGTTCTCTGCAAACTTACCCTTGCCCCATGGCCTGGAACACAACAGGCTCAAGGTAGCAGCCAAAGGCACGAGTCCATTCGCCTACTTTGAACCTCCATCAGTGACCGCAAGGGCTGAACATTGCCTGCTATACTCCTACAGGGCCAGGCCTTGTCTATTTCTTCCTCCCTGTCCCCAGCCCTGCCCTCTGTCCTCCCCAGCTCCCAGCCCTGCCCTACCTGCCTGGGCCAGCTGATCCCAGTCTCTGGGCCTGAGCCCACCTGCAGAGGTGAGGCTTTACTTCCGAGGTTTTTTCTCCCTAAACAGAGGAAAGCACTGGGGTCAGGACTGGAGGACATGACCTTCCCATGTTTCTCACTCTCCTCTTCCTCCTACTCCCATCCCTATCAATTCACCCCAATATTGAAGGGCAGGAGCACCTAAGAAATCAGTTGGCATTTAGGATAGTGTGACTGGAGAGCAGAAATGTCACCCCCAGCGCCAGCCCTCCATAGCAGCCACCATCGGCAGGTGGTTCCTCAATGTCAGACCGATTTTTCCAGTTAACTGGGTCCCAAGGAGTTAATAGGCAACTGCTTCCTTCTGGCTAAGTCACGCCAGGCCTGGCCTGGCCAGATGGTCCTCAGATTTGGCCTTTTCTCTCCTGCCGGGAGGTCCAGGCCCATTTCATGTAGCAGAGGCACTGCCTGGAAGTCAGGGCCCTGAACATCTTGCATTTGCCACAAATGAGATCGATGATCGGGAGCAAGTCACCCAAATCTCCCTGTGCCTCAGTTTCCTCAACCACTAACCAAAAATTAAAAACACATGTCCTGCCAGTCCTCTGGGTATTGGGACTTCTGAGTGAGTTAATGTATAAGAAACCTCTGGAGAAAACTAAAGCACAGATCCCGGGTAGAACAAGACAGCTGCTAGCATTTATGGTGCAATCATTCTGCACCCTCACCAGGGCCTCACAACCACTGTTATCAACCCTAGTTTACATAAAAATAAACTGATTGCGTAAATGGCCCCATAGTCTTTCCATTAGTAAGAGGGAAGCCAGGATTTAAATTCTCCCTGCTCTACTCCAGACCAGGGCTCAATAGTGAGGACCACTCAGCATTTGAGGGCCTCCTGTGGGGGGAGGCCCAAGGGTGGTCATTCTATCCGATTTAACTAGTGATAGTAATCAGGCACTGTTATTATGATCCCAGCTGGCCTATCCAGTGTCACAGAAATGCCTCTGTTTCCTGTACAGGCCTACGGCTTCCCATCGGGCCTTCTGATCATCAGAATCTCAGGACTCAGAATCCCAGGACTCAGACGACAGGAGACAGGAAGACTGAGGCACTCAGGAGGCTGAGACAGGAGAATTGCCTGAGCCGAGGAGGCGGAGGTTGCGGTGAGCCGAGATCGCGCCATTGCACTCCAGCCTGGGTAACAAGAGCGAAACTCCGTCTCAAAAAAAAAAAAAAAAGACTGAGGTTCTCTCCGTTGCCAGTTTCCACATATCAAAGGGACTCATTGCTGGCAAGTCCCCACTCAGAGACATGGACGGTCACAGGACCTGCCACCTGCGTCCACCCCGTGTGGAGACACCCTCCTGCCAGCAGGCCCTGACCCGAGGATATAATAGGATCTTTTTTACTTTTTGTTTCACTGGGAGCCAAAAAGTCCCTCTTCAGACGGGTCTCCCATGCTAGGTGAGTCCATAGGCACAAAAGGAACCCCTCATGCACCGGAACTTAATAAAGATTTGCTGATGTTTTCCTGTATTTCGTTGGGATAGGCGCCCCTGGCATCGAACGACAGTGGTCACTCAGGGAAGAAAAAGTCCGGAAGTTCCCCCAACTTCACCCCCTAAAGACCACATGGCTTCAGCCTAGGGAAGAGTTAACTTTCTGGCCACTGGAGACAGCGTCCTGCCCGCAGGGGCTGCCCAGCCAATGGCACTCAAGGCTGATGATGTCATGCTCCTCCCGCGCCTTCTATTGGGAACTGGACAGCGAATCCAGCAGGAGGCTCGGGCAGCGGAGCCGAGGCGGGGCGGGGGCAGAGGAGGAGGAGGGGGAAGGGCAAGGAAAGGCGAGCAAAGCTGCACAGAGCTGCTCCCGCCTCATCCCTCCCTCCCCTCCCCTGCGCCTCCCGACAGAAGGTGCCCCGGGGGACCGCCCCGTCCTGGAGATGAGAGGCACAGCAGCTTTGGGCCAGGGGAGCGGCTGGGGGCTCCCATTCCCGACTGCAGAAAACAGACATCCGGCCTGCCCACCGGGCGGACGGGTAGCAGGGTGCCTAGGGCAAGCGCCGGGATACGGTGCAGCACAGGCGCGCACACAGGCACACACGTGCACCCCCAACCAGGCACAGCCACAGCATCCTTGGCAGCACCCTCCCTCTCCCAGCCCAGATTCCAGCCTTACCTGCCTGAGGCCTGAGGGTCTGCGTCCACGCTGCTGGCCCTAACTGCCCCATCCACGTCGCTGGGCTCTCTGTGGGAGGCAAGAGGAGGCAGGAAGAGCTATGGCCGTGCCCAGCCCTTCCCTGCCCCGCCACGGGTCCCAGCCGCACTGGGCTATGGCACTGGAGGCTGCAACTAGAACTCTTGACGCTCTAAGTGTCTCCTGCTCTGAGACTCAGCTCTCAAGGTTTCCTTGAAAATGCCCTCCCAGCTCCCCTGAAGGTCCAGGCTTGGTGGCAGCCCGGCCCCATGGGTCCTCCCCCACCAACCCCCAGCCATAGCCCAGTCAGTTTCTCACGGTTGGACTCGGTTGGCAAATCGGCGGCGCCAGAGCATGGCCAGGGTGCTGAGCAGGAAAAGTGTGGTGCACATGGCGCAGCTGCCCCATCCCCTCCCAGACCAAGTCCACAGAAGGCCACAGGCGAGGAGCCAAAATGGCCCTGGCCGGCTCTCAGGAGCCACTGCCGTCTGTCCTGCGGTTCCTGCTGGGGATGGATTAGGAGGCTCAAGCTGATTAGTGGGTCAGTGGCCCTGACCTTGGGAGAACTGATTAAGCTCCCTGGGCCCCGGTTCTCCCCTCCAGCGGTAGGGTCAAGGTGTGCACTATGGCATTGGGCACATATTCGGAGTGTCCATCTCTGAGACCGGGCCTTGCTTACAAGGCACTGCCAGTCTAGATGAATGTGCTGTCAAGTACAATGACCGCAGGAGAGTGACCCAGGAGAGATTCAAGGCGCCTCCAGGGCACTTTCAGAGTTGCAGGCATCAGGGCAAGGTTCAAAGAGGAGCGAGGGCATCTGAATTTGCAGTACACAAGGAGGATGAGCCCTCAGACTGAAGACGCTGCTGAGGCTACTGACATGAAATCATGGAGCATCTGCCGGTAACTGCAAGGTGAGTAGAGGTGAAGCAATGATGTCACTGTAGAAAGATCAGGAGACGAATATTTGATAATGAAGCCAGAGAGACAGGGGAGACTCGACAGTGAAGGGCTGGCACAGTTTACCCTCTGGACAATCCTCTCCAAACTTTTCTGATTACACACCCTCTTCAGTAAAAGGCAGAATTCAAGTGCGCGCTCACAAAATAGATAGGTGCACCCACTTACAAATTATATGCTAGATCACGAGACAGATACATTCCTACACCATAAGGCTGCATTGAATTTGCAAAGGATGAGATGAAAAGAAATAGCGGATTTCTCCTACTTTCTTTCCACATCCCAAGGGGACCTGTTGGGCAGCCACTTGGTCGCAGCAATTTTGAGAAACTGTTCGTTGTGTGTGGAGCGTGGAACCGGCCATGACCACGCTGAGACGTGGATCTGGGAGTAATGTGAGAACCTGAAGCCACCCACTCCTCTCCACCCCTCCAAAACCTCCAAGAGGCATTAGATTTTCCTTCACTCAATAAGGGGGAGGCAGTGTCAGAGGCACTGCCCCAGGGTCCCCCAGGCACCGGAACCCTGAGCTCCCAGGAAGGGCCCAGCCTGCAGCTGAGGCTTGCCTGGGCGAGTTCTCCCTGCCTCCTCAGGACCTTACAGTCGAATTTTAAAGAATAAATACATGAACTACAGCAGAAGCCCAGAGCCAACCCTTGGCAATGCTTGGGCAATGGGACACCAAGTCTTGAGCAAGGACAAGGGTTACGGGGAGCCTGAGTGACATCTCTTCCTGACACTGCCAGGCCCTGTCTGACCTCAGGCTGTCCCCAGGACCCAGCAGCCGCTGAAGGGCGGGCACCATGGAACTCTCCCCCTAACTCTGGCCCAACTCACACCGCTCCGGACAGGGTCCACCAGGAGGAAGGATCTGTCTCCTCCAGCCCAGAATCAAGCCCTTGGTGGCAGCTGAGCTGTCCCCAGAGGCCTGCGCCTTCCTCAGGACTTCTTGACCGACAGGTCCTCTCTGCCCTAACCGGTGCCTCTCCGGACTTTTCTCCACCACCAGCTGAGCCAGAATTCAGGGCAGCGCCTAGTTCTTGCCTGTCCTTGTCATTGGTAAGACACGAGGGACTTCTCGACGGCCCCGCCGCCACGCGCGTGCACCAAGGGCAACCGGGGTGCTGGGCGGAAGGAAAGGGGGTGCAGGCCTCAGGCGCCCGCGATCGGAGGTGCGCTTAAGTTCCGACAGCCGGGGCGGTGAGCGGGCAGGCGGACGAGTCTAATCCCCCCACCCCAAGAGCCTGGCCGTCTGGAGCTGTGGGAGTGGCGCCACGGTCCCCAGCGCCTGGCTCCGGGTAGAAGCCGGGGCTCCGGGAGCCCAGCGCGGTCCAGATGCCCCCCCCCACCCCGCCACGGAAGGGCTAGCGGGCAGCCTCACCGCGAAACCTCCGGAGTGTTGGACTTTGAGTCAGTTTCCCACCGCGGGAAGGGTCTGCACGCGCACACCCGCGATGCCGCACGCTTTGGGAACCGGGACCCAGCGCTCCCGGCCCGCGCCCTCCCCGGCGCACTCCTGGGCGGCCCGCGCCACCCAGCGCCGCGTGACCGCCAATTCCTCCCGGGACCCCCATCGCCCCGGCCACACCTACCCCAGCCCCGCCCCGCGGTGCAACTCCGCGGTGGCCTGCGGGTGGGCGGGCAGCAGTCGCGTCGCCCCCACCCCGCGCAGCCTTCACCTTGCCGGCATTGGCTCACCCACACGGGGCCCGGGGTTTGGAGCGGATTTGTTTTTTTAAACATTTTCCAGCAGACCACATCCCCGCCCCCCGCTGGCGGTCCCCCGCCCCCCGCACATATACCCTGCACACACGCACGCACACACACACACACCCGGCGCGCACAGACACACGCTCCCTCCCTCCGCGCTCTACCCCTCGCCCGCCCGCCGCGCACGCAGCCGGCCCCGGCTCCCCGCGCCCCGCGCCCCGCGCCCCGCGCCCCGCCACCGCCGCCGCCGCCGAGCAAAGCCGGGCTGGGCTTGGAGCTGCTCATGGAGAAAGTGCCGGGGGAGATGGAGATCGAGCGCAGGGAACGGAGCGAGGAGCTGTCCGAGGCGGAGAGGAAGGCGGTGCAGGCTACGTGGGCCCGGCTCTATGCCAACTGCGAGGACGTGGGGGTGGCCATCCTGGTGAGGTAGGTGTCGCCCGGCCCGGCCGGGCCCTGGGCAGGGAGGGCGGCAGCGGCTCCGGGCAGAGGCGGGTTGGGCCAGGGTCCGAGCTCCGGCGCCACCTCCCCAGCCGTGACTGGGGCCGGTGCGAGGTCAGCGGGGCGGGCAGCGTGGGGCGCCTTGGGGTGAACGAAGCCTGAGCTGAGCTTTCTCTGGCTCCGGCGCGGGGCTCACCAGGAACTAGGAACAAGATGCGGGAGGGCACCTCGGTCCCCCTCCTTTTCCCGGCCTCAGAACTCCTCCCTCGGCCAGCGACCCCAGACACCCAGTCAAGCTGTCTGACACACACATTTTTCTGGCCTTTCAAAGGGAGTAGCAGGGGCTCCCCACTTTAGAGATGGGAAAACCGAGGCTCAGCCAAGAAAGGGGACAAAGAGGAGCAGACCCTTGTCTCAAGCTCAGCTGCTTGCTGGATTCAAAGCCTCTTGGAAGAACAGGGAGCAAAGAGCAGAGGTTGAGAAGGAAGAGAGCTGGGGTCCAGTGTTCCCAGCTGCCCTCTTCCTGCTGGAGGCGCAGGTCAGCAGGAGCTCCTGGGGCAGGCACAGGTGAGTGGAGAAGCAAACAGTGCCAGAGCATACAGTCCCTGCTGAGTTTGAGGGTCAGGGAGAAGAGAGAAGCCTCAGGAGACAGGGCCTAACCCTAAAACCCCCCACATAGGGAGGAAATGCAGTGGCTTGGGCTTAGGGGGTCATTCAGGCACCACACATCCCTGAGAGAGCCACACACACAGAGCGTCCCATTCACGCACCTGCACAGAGCGTGCACACACCATTCTCATCGAGGTGATGTGTCCAAGCCTCGAAAGCTAGTAACTGACTCAAGCTACAAATCCATGCTCCCTTGCCACACGTGCTGGCCCCTGGGGGTGCAGGCAGAGAGGTTCCAGACCACGCTCGCTCACTCTCAATCCCCTGTTCCTGGCAGAGGAAAGGGTCAAATCTAGGACAGAGCAGGACAGCCTTGTCATGGGAAGACGGGTGAAGCCTCGCTCTGGAAGGACAGCTTTAGTGCCTCCCTGACTCCCAGGCCTCTTCTCTCTCCCAAGCCTGGGACCTATCCAGCTCCACCATGATATGCCCTGATTCTAACTCCGAAGCAGATTTTGGAGGAAAAAGAGCAGGAAGCACTTCTAAGGAGTTAGAGGAGCGTTCCTGAGGATGGGGCAGCTATCTCAGCAGCACCCCAGGCTCAGAAACAGAGCCGGGAGCGGGAGGAAGCTAAGAGGGGCATTGGGATCCTGGAGCCTCAGATGCTCGGAACCGCAGATCCCCACACATCCCAGCATCCACATAAGCACACAGCGGGCAGCAGAGCCGCAGACGTGCCAGACTGCATCCTCGGACAGGCTGGCAACCGGGTGCCAGCCCCCACAGCCCACCGGCCTCGTGTGTGTCTAGGCGTGCACATGGGTCACCAGAGGAGGCGAGCCAGGGTCCTCAGGACCTTGGAGGTTTTCTGTCCTAACCCGTGCCACGTGCCTGTGCTGATCCGTGGAGGAAGTGCTCACCGTCCGCATCCCGGGGCATCACTGAACCTCCCCAGGAAGGGGACCAGGGCGGGGCATATGCCAAGGAGAAATGAAGCACTGAGGGCAGGGCCATGTCTGGGCAGTCCGAGCTTTCAGCAAGGATTTCTTTTTCTCTCTCCACCCCTCTTCTGGTCTCCACTCCTGTCTCTTAGAGGGGCCTGGGCCTGGGCTGGGGGAGGTCATTACCAATGTGCTCAATTCTGTGTGGACTAGAGCCCAGCCCGGGACGGCCTGGCCCAGCTCTGTCTCAGCCACTCCCTGCCAGCCCAACCCCACAGGGTCTTGCTTTCCTTTTTCTCGCCTCCTGTCTCTGCCCAGGGCCTGGTCAGTAGGGGAAGGGGAGGAAAGGGGGATAAGGGCTCCTGAAGGTCCCTCCTTAGATCCTGGGCCCATCAGTCTTGACACGGTGCTCTTCCTTCCCACACACAACACACACATCCTCAAGGTCAAGGCCCCAGCTGGAGCCCTCCGGCCAGCGCTCTCAGCTGTGCCCTCTTCACTGTGCCTAGTGAGCCTGCAGGGCAGAGAGGAGGCCGCTGTACCTCCACAGCCCCAAACTGGAGAAGTTGCCACGTTGATGGGGGTGGAGGAGGCGTTGCTTTCAGAACCTGGGGCAGATCCCACACTTCCACTCCCTGCCAGGGAGACCAAGAGGGAACACCCACCTTCCCGCCTGGTTGTAACTCTGACACCCTCCTCCTCACACTCAGACAGGCCTATTTCGGGCTCTCTTGGAAGCCCAGATTCCTCTGGGAGCTGAGAAACTCCCCAGGGCTGGCTGTGGAGGCTCCTCCCTGGCAGCACAGGCTGAGACTGGGCGGGCCTCAGGTGGAAATGCCATGGAGTCAGGAGGCAGGAGCCACGCACGTGGGCCCCAGGGGCTGCAGACCTTGGAGGGTCTGGGTGGGGACTCCCTGAGACTGTCATTCCTCAGGATCACAACTCAGTGGTGGGTGTTGAGGCAGGAGACATCTGGTTACCAGGCCATGGTCCCCTGGCAGTGAGTCTCTCCAGGCAGTGTGGGGAAGCCGTCAAAGCAGGGCCCATCTGGGCCCCTTCCTGGCCCATCTACTCTATTGGGCAATCTTGGACATCAATTCCTAATTCATAAGAGGGGGATTAAAACAGTGCGTGTCTCAGGAGGGAAATGCAAGAATTCATGAGATCATACAGTAAGTGCTCAATAAATGTTCCCTGTTGTTTCCTCCTCAGTAAAATAGAGGTAGCACCTGCTTAGCTGTGGCAATTAAATACAATAACAGACCAGGCACCGTGGCTCACACCTGTAATCCCAGCAATTTGGAAGGCCAAGGCAGGTAGAACACCTGAGGTCAGAAGTTCAAGACCAGCCTGGCCAATATGGTGAAACCCTGTATCTAAAATACAAAAATTAGCCAGGCCTGGTGGCGGGCACCTACAATCCCAGCTAATTCGGGAGGCTGAGACAGAAGAATCACTTGAACCTGGGAGGCAGAGCTTGTAGTAAGCCAAGATTGCACCATCGCACTCCAACCCGAGCAACAGAGTAGAGTGAGATTCCACGAAAGAGAGAGAGAGAGAGAGAGAAAGAAAGGAAGGAAGGGAAAAAGAGAAAGAAAGAAGAGAAAAGAAAAAGAAAGAGAAAGGAGAGAGGAGGAAGGGGAAGAAGAGAAGGAAGGGGTTCAATAACATACGTGGAGATACTTTGCAAATTGTAAAACACCAGGCAAATATATGTCATTATTATTTTGAGTCAGGGTCTTGCTCTGTCACCCAAGCTGGAGTGCAGTGGGATGATCATGGCTCACTGCAGCCGCCAATCCTGTGCTCATGTGATCGGATCTTCCTGCTGCAGCCTCCCAAATAGCTAGGACTACAGACATATATCACCACACCAAGCCATTTTTTTTTCTTTTTTTCTGGAGACAGAAGCTCACTATGTTGCCCAGGCTGGTCACGAACTCCTGGCCTCAACTGATCTTCCTGCCTTGGCCTCTCAAAGTTCTGGGATTACAGGCATAAGCCACCACATCCAGCCTTTTATTATTTCTTTTGATTCAGGATCTCACTCTGTCACCCAGGCTGGAGTGCAGGGGCGCAATCTTGGCTCCCTGCAGCCTTGACCTCCTGGGTTCAAGTGATCCTTCCACTTCAGCCTCCTGAGTAGCTGGAACCACAGGCGTGTGCCACCTCACCTGGCTAATTTTTTGTATTTGTAGAGACAGGGTTTGCCACACTGCGCAGGCTGGTGTCAAATGCCTGTGCTCAGGCGATCACCTGCCTTGGCCTCGTAAAGTGCTAGGATTACAGGCGAGAGCCACCGTGCCCAGCCACATCATTATTTTTTATTGCAATTGTAAAACCTCCCATGTCTGAGATGCTCATTTAAGTCCAAATTGGGTTTTTCACATTGGTCCCTCATTACAGTGCTTCTCCAGAAAATTCAGTGTATCTTTAGACCCACTGCCTCACGTGTCCTCACCCGTGTGTCCATGAGGCAGTGAGCGGGGGCTCTTCTCTCACCTTTCTGCAGACAGGGAGCTTGTGAGGGGGTTTGCCTAAGGTCACAGTTGGCCTCTGAGAGGGGCCCTCCTGGGTTTCCATGAAGACTGTGCGCTGGTCACTGTGCAAATTTCCCCTGCCAGCAGTGGCACCACCACCATTAGAGATGACCCAGTCAGATGCCCTCTCTGCATCTGTTCCAGCCGTCACATCTGAGACTCGACTCCTGGCCAAAGGGCTGCTTCTACAAATTATCAGCTCTCTCTGATCACAAAGGGGACACACAAAGGGGCGGGACAACCTGGAATGACAGGTCCAGGACATTCCACGCACTTTTGGGGATTCACTTAAGTTATGTCAGTTCTGACTGGGTCCGTGCCTATGCCTCACTTGATATCCAGCCCCCACAGGGAGAGGAGGTGCAAAAGTCATTGTCGGCCAGGCACAGTGGTGCATGCCTATAATCCCAGCAATTTGGGAGGCTGAGGTCAGGAGTTCAAGACCAGCCTAGCCAACATGGTGAAACCCCATCTCTACTAAAAATACAAAAAATTAGCTAGCCTGGCATGGTGACAGGCACCTGTAATCCCAGCTACTCAGGAGGCTGAGGCAGGAGAATCACTTAAACTTGGGAGGCAGAGGTTGCAGTGAGCCAAGATTGCACCACTGCACTCTAACCTGGATGACAGAGTGAGACTCAACCTCACACACACACACAAAAGACATGGTCATTTTCCACACTGCAGGACCCCAGCTAGGG